TAAGTTTTCAAATAAGATTTATCATACAATCGAACTCATCGGCTTGAAAGTCGTAACAAGAAATGGCCCATTGTTCCGGGTCAACTTTCTAAACAAAAGTCCTGAGTAATTGGTAGTCCTGAGGGACTTTGGCCGAAGGGAGGCGGAAAAGCTCGTAACTGATCGAGAAAATTATCGGAGTGACAATTTTGCTGCACTGGGGGAGTGGGTAGTGTAAATATGCACCAGTAAAATCAATCTCCATCGGTGTACCCAGGGGTAGACTTGACCCTCGTTTAGCGCATCGAGCCAAAGGTTCGCAAATTCAAAAATAATTAAATTTATCCCTGTTGCAGTGATTCATTTAAACCACCTTTCTCTATATGTAAGTCAAGTCGCCTGTTTTTTACCAGTCAGTTTTTTCAACGTACAAATATATTTTTTGGTCTTACTACTGGTGTTAAATACAATCGAAAGTGACGGTTTTCTGTGGAGAGCCTCGAGGCGATTAAAGACCTTGTTTCTGGCGCACAGAGCGTGGCATATAACGAAGGTGTGATTTTTTTTCATCGCTTTAAGAAGATGTGAAAAGAGTGGGAGAATATAGCAGGTAATTTAAGCCATTGACGAAGGGCTAACACTCGAAACGTCAGCTTTTTTATTCTTTACGGTGGCCAGTTTACATTTTCAACTCAGTTGTTAACACTTAATTACCTGTTTTTAAATTTGTCTAGTGTTTTCAAAGCGCCTTAATGTTAAATTGTCACGATAGTATTTCACTTGAGTTTCTATTAGGAGGCGGTTTATAGCGCGAAAGAAAATTATGGGAGGCGATTGCGCAGTGCTTTATGCAAACTAAGAAAATAGGATAACTTTCGTAGCGCGAAATTTGGTTGCCCTAAAATTTGGTAGATAAATCTGACAACGTCAGTGACGTGATTGACTACACGTAACCTGTTGAGCAAAAAAAAAAAAAGAAAGAAACTAACAGAACATGACTGCAAAAAAATCTCACCTCCTGCTATCACACAAAAGGATGAATAGGTATCAATTAGATGTCGGTTTGTGTAAACACAAAAAAGGTTAAAGGGGGATGATAAATACTCCAAACAGTTTACATATTCATGAAAAGTTATTTTGCGGGGTAAAATCAGAATTGGGCCGATGTCTGTTATGTGCAGCTATCATGATCATGTAACATCGCGGTGATGATTTTATATCGTCGAAACTTTCTGATAGTCTTGTAGTGGACGATCTTTACAAATCTGTTCAAAATAAAAGTAACAAATTTTAAACAAAATGTAAATGCGCGAATATTTCAACATTTTTTTCTTTGTCCCAAGTTTAAGACAAGACATAAAAACACCTTTTCTTAAAACAGAAAGGTTATGGTATTCTACGCTTATGTTTCTATTCAGGAGGAAAAATAGTAAAAACAAAGGAGGCGATGTATAAATTATATTATTTTACAAAGGTAACGTGAAATAGTTCTGGAACCCATTTGAAAGCCTACGTGCATTGAGGTCGGTTATACTGCATTTTTTTTGGGGGGGGGGTTGGTGTGCAGAAAAGGGGGAGGGGAAGGTACCAAGGAAAATTGCTAAGAGAAGAAAAATCCGCGGGCACCCTACGAGCACTTAGGTCAAGCTGTATAAGAACATGACACTAGATATGGTAATCAAAGCCAAACCCTAAGAGGTGAGCCTTATCATCAAAACGCCATCCCTGCTTAGCGTACAAAAAAGGATAGAAAAACGGAAATCCATTGCATATCAGCAGGGAATTTTGTTCATACCCGCTTTTTCGGTTAAACTGATTTATTGAAAAAGCTTCAGTTACCTTTGCGACGGCAGGGTACAGGGTGGCACACAAACAACAAAGTTACATCCTCATCACACAACAAAATGCTAGCAAGTAAGACTATACACCATTTTTTTTTTTTTTTTATGATGACACGGATTCTAGACCATCTAAAACCATAACCTGATATGCGAAACAAATAAGTACCTGCTCCAGCCAAGGTTGGAGGCACCACCTCCGCCTTCCCATGAAAAGTTGCTGCGAAAGTAAACCAGTGATAATTTATGGATTCCCGAAAGTTCTTTTGTTTTGTTCTGCCGAGGGTGGGGGGTACTTCCTATTAAAAGGCCGATGGGGATGCACTGCTGGATGAGGCCTCTTTTTCGTGACTGGATTGACTATAATGGGTTGAATTTTCCATAGAATAGGGTCGTACATTTTCGGGATTTTTAAGGTAGGAAAAAATTCTGGTAAGGAGAGATTTAAAAATGGGAAGAATCGCAGTAAAAAAAGCGACTTAAGCGACTAGGATGGGGTCTGAAATAGGCCACAGAATAGGCTATAACTGGGAAAGGATTTTGAGAGCCCCCCCCCCCCCCCCCCCACCGGATTTTGATGTTACATGCAGTCCAATACTCAGATCCATGACCCTTGCGATTCCATGATTCATGATATGAAAATCATATTTTCTAGGATTGAACTTTCGTTTTCCTCTTCGATTTCTATATATTTGAAGCACTTGCTTGCTGCAATCGTTTCCGACTGTGACCAAGTACTGAGTAAAATCAAGAGGAAATAGTGAGACATTTTTTTTTTCTCCCGAGTAAAATAAAAGTATTAAACTTCATAAAACGTGAGCGCTTAAAACAAGTCTTTTTGTCGCACTCAAAGAGCTTTAGAGTTTTATTGATATTCGTCGTTCCTTTTTAAGTCAGCTCTCGATAGACTGTTCCTTTAAACTTAAAAACCTTAAAGCTCCTCCGTTTTCCACGTCAAAAGCTTTCACAGCTTCCCTCAACGTTGGTGTGTTTGCTTAATCTTCATAACCAATGAAAGAAGATGGCAAGCAGATGACCATTACTGATACAAACATCGCTATCAGGAGAAATACGCTCGTGGCGTTGTCTGCCTTCACCCTGACTCGTAAGTAGAGCCACACGGCGCATTACAATATTATACCTCGACATAAAACATACAAGCAAGTTTTTTTCCCTGATGCGTGATCTTTCCATGCAATAACCATAACGCGCTTTTTTATCTACTGAAGTGCGTACCTCTTCTTCAATTCTACAATTATTCAGCTAGGATTGCAAAACCTGTCTGCTATCTTGCGTTTTTCTTCTGAGACTATTCGCGATATGTTATCAAACTGAAACACAATACAAGTCGATTGCAGCCTGATCAACATCGGAGAGCATTCATCGACAGCGCGCTGAACTGAGAAGTATTTCACTGGACAAAACGAACATTGTGATTATTCGTTATCAAAAAATTATTCCATTCATCATTAAATAGACCTCTGAGCATATTGATAGCTTGCCTGGTGTACAATTAATTCGAATATGTCATGGGTATTCAGCGAACTAAAATGGAACTTCTTTAAGTTCATTACGAAAGTCTCCTGAGTACGAAAGGAAAATTACGAAACCCAAAATCCTGATTAATACACTTGCCACTTGCCATAATCCACATGACGAGAGTTATGGTTTATTGCTCTCTGGGGAATTGTCTCCTGTCCAAATAATTTTTTTTTTTTTTTTTTTTTTTTAGTATAGGTAATGGCATGATTTCGAGTGCAATTTGAAATGAGTAAGCAAGTGCTTATTTATTCCATATTGCACGAGAAAAATCATGTGATTACGTACTAGTAATATACATGAAAAAAATACGAGACAGCCTATCATAATTATGCAGAAGCAAAGCGCGCGCATCAAGTGCAAAAATAATTTATTCAAACCGTGCATTCGTTCAAAACAACCGCGCACGATCAAAACAATAATATACAATGATATTTTCACATCTTTAAAGCGCAAAAAGCTCATAGTCCGGCTAAACAGTTCGAGGAATGTTCAGTCTGGTTTGTTACTCCTTTGCACTGGATTAACCCTCTTCTGCATCGAATTACCTGAAAACTGCATTTATCTTCACCAATCAGAACTGAGTAATTTTTACATGTATCTTATTAGCAAAGTTATAAAACTTACCTAACATTTTCCCCCTCTTATCAAATTCTCTTGTTACGTAAGTAATTAAGCTTGCATGACATAATTTCGAGACTGAAACAACATACTTTAATATACTTGAATCAAAGTTTCCCGTCAGTCTTCGAGTCTGGGCGGTCTTTTAAAATATGTTACAATAAAAGGAAGAAATTGAAATGAAAAACAGATTTGATACCCAGAAGCCCCTCAGAGGGTCCTTGAGTGTAGAGTGTAGGTTTATTTATATAAGAATGTCTTTAATTGCAAAAATATAGATATCCCATAGATAAGCTTTCTTATTTAATAGCCTGTACTTATCAGCACAAATATTAATAATGCCTCGTGTTCGTTTAACCTTACATGCTTTGCTATTGATGAGTCCCGGTTAATGTAGAATTTGGCCCGTTGCTTGTAAGGAAGAACGGTAGAAAACTCTTAACCCGACATAAATTCCTTTGGATCACGTGAGAAAAGCGGGAACAAACTGTTGGAAATGTGACGCAACACGGAACTACCAAACCGAAAACACAGTTGGGGGAAATGAGCACACTTTCCAAAGTGTAGTACATGCTTCAATTAACTTCATAAAAGTTAACCACTCGCAAGCACTAAAATGTGTCTCAAGTGTCGTACGTTTATGTCGCTGCGAAAGTAAACGAGAGAGTAAATCTATGGGTCTTTTTTTTTTTTTTTTTTTTTTTTTCGGGAAGGGGGAAGGGGTGGGAGACTCTAGTAAGACCCCTATCTGAAATGAGAAAGGATTGTCGTTATCACTTCTCAGTCAAAGAAAATAGAAGAACAGGAGCTCTTATTACCGAGAGACTTACGTAGAATACTCTAAAAGTGTCAATAGTGGGTGTATTAATCAGGCCGTGGGCCTAAGTAAATATACAATTTTTATTTTGTCGCAGCTAAGTGATGACATCTTGTCAGACGGTGTAGGAAAACGACTTCGTTACCAGGGGTCAAAACGGTTTGAAAAAGAAAGGAAAGCTTCATCCTATTGAGCACAAAAATATGTGAATTACATTTCTTGTTTATTGCTTACGTTTTTAAACCAAATTTACCTAGGAATGGTATACATTACTGTGAAAGAAAATGGTTTGATATAATGAAAACAAACCTATTTTTAAGCTTAGCTAGGGCCTAAGAAATATTTTTTGTCATAGCTACGCATTACTGCAGAGAAGGATTTCCAAGATTAAATTTTTCTTTTAGTCTTCGAGTTTGGACGGTCCCCATAAATCTGTTGATACAAAAGGAACCAATATAATGAAAGACAAATTTAATAATCAAAAGCACATAGTAGGGTCCCCATGTGTACAGTTTATGTGTAATGAATATCTTAAATTGCAAATGTGCGGATAACTTATTAATACGCTTTATTCAATGGTCCAGTAATTATTATTGCTTGTGCGACCGGATAACGAGTTACAGTTAAATAACTCAGTCGCATAAAACTATGCATTGAATAAGGCTCAGTTAATTTGGAATTACTGGTGCGTTGTTTGTTAGGAAGGAGAAGGAGGGGGGGGGGGGGGGGTGGGTGGAACTACGAAAACCATTGAACCAATATGACAATATGAAATCCGTTGGAGGACATAAGGGAAACGGAAACAGACTACATCAAAATGTGACATCGGGTAAGGTAATCAAACCAACGCTAATTTTGTGAGAGGTAAGCAGCCTCAACAAAGCTCCACCCCTGCTGAATTGACTTCTATGTTTCGAAGGAAAGTTACCTAGAAGTAACCGGCCTTATGGATATCAAATGTTTGACATACTTAAGCCATTTCTACCCCGGCGACGTACTCTTGGATCGACTGCGGCTGCGGCGAATCATGGGGCGTGCTGCATCGTCTGAATCGCTATGAAATGTTATGATAGAGACAACTCAGTTAGTCACTCAGTTGAAATCGCCACCATTTTGTGATATTAAGGTACTGTGCAAACGATAATCGTCGTTATTGCGATAATTCCGATATATCGGCAATATTTGAACAATATTTCAGTTGGAATGATAGATCGGCGACGTATCGCAGTGCTACTGTTCTTGCAGCTGTTATATATCGCCGATCTATCGTTTAGCTCCAAGCGAATGATCGTTTTCTTTCAGCGATATATCCTTTGAGCCAAACGATACATATCGCTTCAGCTCAACGATATATCGTTTTCGCCTCCTCGATATATCGTTTACATCCAACGAGGTATTCATGCCACCCAATGATGTCTCGTTTACACTGAGCGATATATCGTTCCAGCTTAGAGACATATCCTTCCGGTGACCTAGATATCGTCACCTCCGAGCGTTTGAACGGTAAGGCAATATTGCGCTCTTCGTCGAATTTCTTAGCAGACTTGCACTGTCCAAGGTTTATCTATTGCAGGAGAAGTCATCTCTCAAATTAGCATAGTTTCTGGGAGTATGATGAATTAACGTCGGTTTCGCTGGATGTTCGCCACAAGTTCGCTACACATATGCAACTTCACTACCTCAGCTAATTAAGTTGACTACCGCACAAAGAATGATAAATTCTAAGGAAGGCTATTTCAACATTTTATTTACTGATAGAGCCTATTAAGTATTACTCTAATCCCGGTTGAAGTCAAATTCGATGAGGCTGAAATTTCTTCTTATCTGTGTGCTTAATTGTGGTGATAAAATACGATTTTTAGAGTGAATTTCTACTTTAAATTTGGTACCTTGTAGGATTTTCATCCATAGAATCGTTCCTGACTGTCATGTTGTTTCCGTTTCCACACGTAGTAAAATTAAATGTTAGAGCGATAGCAAGAATCGCTCCATACACAGCGATAAGGAGGAACCTGTTCATGGCGAAGTCCTCCCTTCTTCTGGGTCGCACGCTTAGGTGCATGGTACATTTTGTACCTTATTATAACAAGAACAAGAATATGATTTACATATTACGTGATAGCCTTAGAGGAGCCTACTTTATCAAGAGATCAAGAGTTCCTTTTCATCAATATCAAATTTTGTTATTTTGATGTAGCCAACAGGGAGGACATATTTGACCAAAACATTACGTCTTTTCTAAAATCTTAACATATTCATAGTTCAACAATTCTCTCGTTTCTTAAAACAGACCGTGTCAATAAGAAAAGACAGGGAGAGCACTTCCTGACAAATAACCAAGTCGATTCGATGCTAATTAGAATTAAACGTCGATGCCTTTCTTCCTTTGTGTCGTATTTTGATGAGCCCACGAGTCTGGTAAGCTGTGGTGCACAATGTAATACATATCCTTTGATAGTGAGTACAAGTAAGTGATCTCCATATTGTGTTTTTGAGTTCTAAGAGCCTTCTTTATCAGCAGATAAAGTGCTCGATCAGTCCTGTTCACCAATATCTAAGTTTGGTATGTGGGCCTTATTATGTTTTACAACCTGATCTAACCGGCTTCGAGGACGAAATAACCCAAAATACCTCTACAGGTGCGCTATGATCATTATTTATCCATTTCACTCTTTTCTTAAAACTGATCAGTTTATTGGGAAAAGAAAAAGAGAAGAAAAACACTTCTGCTTATCTTTGAATAGCCTAATCCAATGTTCCTTCAATATTCTAGCTTTAATAAAGGCTCCATCATGAAAACTATATTTGTCCATTGACGTAAGCATCTGAAGTGTTTTCTTTTTCTTCCTCTTCTTCTATAATATTCAGTTGTTTATGTAAGCGCGCCACATGTCATGTTACTCCTAATGATATACATGAAAAAATCACTATGTTCTGATTGGTTAAGATATATGCAGTTTTCAGGTAATTCAATGCAGAAGAGGGTTAATTCAGTGCAAAGAAGTAACAAACCAGACATTCTGATTGGTCAATAATCAAAGAAACTCATAAATAGCCAATCAAATGCGAGCCTTGGATGTCGCAACAGTTGGATACGCTGAAAATTCGCGAGCGAAACGATGGCCGGCGTTTTAAGTAGGTTTTCTTTCGCCACCGCAACAACAATACAGTAGCTGAAAAACAGCTCTAACAACGAAAACACTGTAAAAAGCACTGCTTTTTAGTTGTCGGTCTGGAGAAAGTGGTGTTTAGAGAAGGGAATTGCCAGGGAAATCGAAAATTACGAGCCGACCCAGCTTAAAACTTTGCTCGAGCAATTCTACGCCGAAATTAAAAACAAACATGGTTAAACCTCGGAAATGACGATTCCATTTCATCGAAAGTGATTCGGACACAGACTGAAAAGTTCCTTTAACTTTTTAACCCCTATTTGAACTTATTGGCGTCTTAAAGATGTGAAAATATCATTGTATATTATTGTTTTGAGTGTACGCGGTTGTTTTCACCGAACGCACGGTTGGAATAAATTATTTTTGAACTTGATGCGCGCGCTTTGCTTCTGCATAGTTATGTTAGGCTGTCTCGTTTTTTTTCATGTATATTATTAATACGTAATCCCATGATTTTCTCGTGCAGTTTGGAATAAATAATCGCTTGTTAATTTTTTTAAAGAGCACAAATTGCACTCCCCCTACGGGCTTGTGCAATTTCGTTAGTCGTCAAAAAACTAACTCATGCTAATTCATTCCAAATTGCATTCGAAATCATGTGATTACCTATATAATTGTAATTGCTGTCTCCTATTTGCGCCTGTAGGTGCTCAAAAGGCTTCTTGCCGCACACCTCGTACTCTTGATTATAATGCGGAAGTATGATGCCTTGACCATTTAGTCATCTTAGCGTAGAGGAGAAGAGTTAGAAAAAACCTGTTCTCTAATCGGTCATGTTGTCAAAATTTCCCAACGAGCGTGGCACAATAACGATGCAAGTTATGAAGTTGCGTCTTTATTAGTATAGGCACAGTGCTAACACAAAATACAACCATTTTGAATTAGTTTGCAAAGAAACAGCCGCAGACACCACCCCACTGAAACTCAAAATCAAGAAATGAACACCATGGGAGACTGAGAAAATTTGCCAAAAAACGTAAACGTCTGCATGAAGCCGCATATCTGAATGACTCTCGACCAACACCTGAAATCATCACGAACTTCGGTAATGCCCGAGACGCACTTAAGGAAACCTATGGGGCGGAGCAATCAGAATATCAAAGGTCTGCTATTGCACGAAAAACTGTAGACGGTTAAGTGGAAGGAAAAGTAGTAACAGAGGCAAACTAAAAGCATCGAATCAAGACGAACGTGTAAATCTTTGGCAACAGCATTTTCAAGACCTTCTTGGTAAACCACCAATAACTCCAGTCTTAACAAAAGAAAAGGACTTTTCGCTATGAAGGAACTGTTGATACCTGCTGAAGTTTGGAAAATAGATGACTTCCACCCATTATTGTTGGATTTCTGCAACAATGTATATAATCAAGATCCCATAAATAGACGGAGAGAAGGATGCCTGCTCCCAATCCCCAAAAAAGGCAACCTCGTGATCACCAAGAATTACCGCGGAATAACATTGACAGCAATTGCAGCAAAGATTTACAACCTGATGCTCCTAAACAGAACAAGACCCAAACTCGACCGAGTCTTGAGAAAAAACCAAAACGGGTCCCGCATAAACCTATCAACCTCAGGACAAAAACTCACCATCAGATGTATCTTGGAGGGCATTAAATCAAAAAACCTTTTAGCTGCTCTCCTGTTCATCGAATTTTCAAAAGCCTTTGATTCGATCCACCGCGGAAAGATGAAAGAGATCTTATCCGTCTATGGAATAACCAAGGAAACAGTGGATGCCATCATGATACTGTATCATGACACCAGCTCTATGGTTCGCTCTCCTGATGGAGACACAGACTTCTTCGATAACAGTGCTGGAGTCCTCCAAGGTGATACACTAGCCCCATGCATATTCATTATATGTCTTGACTATGTACTGCGTAAAGCTCTGGACAAGAACAATGAACTTGGCTTTGCCCTCGCAAAGCGGAAGAGCAAACGTGACCCAGCTATGAAAATAACAGATACAGACTGTGCTGAGGACTTAGCAGTGCTGGCTGACGTCCTAAAAGATACGACATTTCTGCTGCACAGCATCGAAAGAACAACAAAGATGATAGGGCTCTACCTCAATGCAGATAAAACAGAGTTCATCTGCTTCAATCAAGATGCGTCATAAGAGATGAAGAGACTCAGTGGTGATAAGATAAAGCAGGTGGAAGATTTTAAATACCTGGGAAGCTACATCGCCTCTACTGAACATGATGTTCACAGTAGACTGGGAAAGGTGTGGGATGCTCTTAATCAATTGGATAAGATATGGAAATCAAACCTTCCAAACAACCTGAAAAGAAACTTCTTTCGAGAAGGAGTGGAGCCTGTCCTTTTATATGGTTCAGTCTCCTGGACCTTAACAATATCTGGAAAAGAAAATCGACGGAGCATACATTAGAATGCTACGCACTGCCTTAAACAGATCGTGGAAGGATCACCCCACAAACGAAAAGCTCTACGGCCACATCCACCAATCAGTAAATCGCTACCGCAACAAAGGATGAGATTCGCAGGGCATTGTTGGCGCAGTAAACATCGGCAGAAATATTGGACAAGATGGCGGCCGCGCTTGCGCATTTCGTCCATAATGGCGTCCAAATAATATAAGAAACTGTACGGAAATTTGTAAAATTTCTAAAATATAACAATCAGGAGCTCATGGTCCCGTCTGCTCTCGATCGAGACATATTCATTACTGATTCTGCTATTCATCAAACCTCACAGGGACTAGATAAATAAAAACCACTTACTTCCCGAGCCAGTTCTTTTGTCATTGGTTATTGACCTAGGTCGCCATACAGTTCTTCAAAATCCGTCGTTCTCCATCCCAAACAGTCGCCTATTACAGGAAAGTGCATAAATAAAGTCAACTGCTCTCGATCGAATTGACTGCTACAGAGTTCGAAGCGTCGAAATATCCTATAAAATTGCCATTTCCTCCCATCAAAAAAGTTCCCAACGCGCCAGAATATCCCTTATTTTCCATGTTGGGTAAGTGACGAGACGCCATGTTGAAAACTATGACTGAAATAGTTAAACACGAGCAACGCTGATCTTCGAATCGTCGGCCATATTTGTTTATGTTCTTGCAGGGAAATAAATTAGTTCTCGGTCCTTTTCAGAATAAAAATATGTCGCATTGAATGTAAATTCAGTAGTCTTAGCGCGAAAATTAAATTAAAGCAAATCAAAATTCTGACATCATGTCATCGCTCTGCCTCGAAAAATCCCAAAGATTTACTTGCAGGTCTTCTTTTGTTTTTCTTTTCATCAAATAAAAGATCTGCAGTGCTCAAATTGTATAAGTCATGGTACGAAACATTCTTCGTTGCAGATCGAGCCGTGATCGCCGGCATATTGAATTCTCTTGATATTCTATTGTTCCGGAGTGTAATACGATATACCGCTGATAATTGTTAGCGGGCTCGAAATGTCCTTGATTTCTGGCGATGAGAAGAACTTGCAGGGGATGTATTACTCTGGATTACATGGACATCAGCCGAGAGGACGCCCAACAAAGACCTACGTTGACCAATTGATGGATGACACACGAGGCAGACTTAAAGAACTACCAATTGAAATGAAAGACAGAGAAAGTTGGAAGGAGCGTGTCATGGAATACCGAGCAAGCTCAACCTGATGGTGATGATTAAGTGTAATAATGGCAGTTCTCTTTCCGAGAGCGCTAAATGAGGCTGACCTTGGAGAATTGCCACTACATCTTTCCATTGTTGATCATTATTAAAGTGTTTCTAAATTTGGATGTTTGAGAAATTTATAGACGGTTTGTATTTTATCAGCTACGATTCCATTTTTGTTTTGTTCGTAGGAATATCACACAAGTCTACAATCATATATTTCAGCACCTGTTAGGACAGCTGATTTTTTATCTGGTCCTAATACACTTGCAATGTTCAGGAATATTCCACACACCACGATATTTAAATGGACGTAAAACAATCGCCTCCGGGCAATAAACTTTAGCATGGGATAAGCAAATGACAAAGGTATAAATGCCATCCCCGCTGGAAATTCTGGACTCCGTCTCACAAGTAATCTCCAAATTTAATATAAAATGTGGTGTTACGTAATCAGACTTTTCCTATCAAACATGCTAGAAATGGACACCTGAAAAAGGGTTATTAATGCAATATAAATGTTTTTCAAAGAAATTATTGATTTGGATAAAATTGATAGTCTGTTCTTCCGACAAAGTAAAGACAAACGAGCACAGGCGACAAGCAACTATCCAAGAGTCTGGTTTAGCGATAAAGTATTTTGCCACAATATTGACCAATATTTTCCATCATAATTTTCTGAGTTTCTTTTTCATTACTGCAAGCTATGTGTAATGGCAAAATACGAATTTACTTGAGACTCCATATTCATGAGCGCACTTTCTCAAAGTAGTTAACAATATCACGCCCACGTTTGCATCATGTTTTAGCAGATCTCTACTTCTGGACATCTCTGATATCAAGAATTCGAAGAGGTCAGTACTGATAAATAACTGAAAAGATGAACCTTTCTCAGCCTCAGTATGGATGCTTCAGGCGTCCAGTCTGTCAGTCAGTACACTTGTTATCAATCTTAAAGCATATCGCGGAAAATCTCCTCAACTTTTTAGTCATTTGGCATGAAAAATGAAGTTTTTTTCAAGAGTTAAAAACAGATATATTTTCGTCTCCGATCGCCGTTGGTCAATCCCTGATTATAAATCAGGTTGTCTAATCGTCAGTTAATACGCCCTGCAACAGTTACACTATCACGATCGATCACACCACGAAAATGAACTGTTTCTCCCATATGCATGTTCAGGCCATATACCTTACGATATACTCATCATTGCACGTGTTTATCGGCCGTTAAATCCCATATATAATCCATAAAAAAACTTTTTAATGATAAATTGAATATGAAAGAAAGTGTAATACATTATCTTAAAATGTATTGAGTTTGTATGAACGCGCAATTGTAAGAAAATATTAAAGAATGAAAAAAGTTTAAGGCACCGATACAAGTATAAATGAATAAAGGGGGTAAGTTTCCAAAGAAACTGTGATGCTGCGTCGGTGGAAGAGTATAGCAGGCAATTTAGTGTTAACAACTGAGTTGAAAACGTAAATTGGCCACCAGCCGCTAGACACTTTAATCTCCCTAATCATTATAAACAGCATATGGCAGTTTGCGGCCTTTCCTTACATCTAGGGAGATCGGAAAGCCGCAAAACACTAGAACAAAAATTTATCTTCCAAATCGGCACCCTTAATCCCCACGGAATCAACGAGCGCTTTTCATTCAACTAATCTATTCCTGCTTTCTCGTCACCATATTCCCACCAATAGCGTAGCTCCACTTTCTGTATATAAACCCACAGACAACCCACAATTCCTCCAATCGCTCTGACGAAGGGCTGACGCTCAAAATGTCAACTTTTTTACCCTTTACGGTGGCCAATTTACGTTTTCAGCTCAGTTGTTAACACTAAATTACCTGATACAAATATAGTTTCCTCTTTTATGGCGGCCGTTCATTTTTTTCTTCCCGGCTAATTATTGAGTTAAGAACGTGAACTTGATAATAAACTGTGTGCTTGAATACTAATTAGTTTAAGGAAATTTGAGATGAAAGAAAATAAAGGAATGTCAAAAGAGTTCCCCCTTAATAGAAGCAAGAGTTACCATCCCAAAAGAAAATGAAAACATGGCCTCTTGGTGTTCCATGTTGACACGCTGTTGACACGCTTTTGTGCAATAAGGAGAAGAGGGGAGGGAGAGGGGGGGATGAAAAGTGAAAGCGACAAGCAACTATCAAATATTTCACCAATGAAGTTCAAATCTCGCAGCAATTTAGTCTGTCAGCCTTCAACATCAATTAATAAGGATGGAATAAATCAGCGCCGATGCCTTTCTTCTTTTGCGCCGTATTTTTAAGGGCCCAAAGAACGAGTAACAATATTCAGCGGTTCTTCACTCCAAAATTTTTAAAAAGGTGGTTATTATCCGACTACTTATGTCAGGTACATTATAATGCAGGGAAAGCAAAGCAACTATAGAAGCAGTTTGTGACAGGTACTGCATGCTTAACGTTTGCGTACCGGATCGACTTTTTATTGGTGCAAAATGATCGACTGTAAAACAACTTGTAAAATATCGCGGGATATTTGAACTCGATTCGTGCGTTATTATTACTCTCATTAATTCAGGAAAGCTGAAATGTTATGGTGATAGTCACCAGATAAAAAAATGTCATAACGTGTATATGTGGCTTTCCAAAATGGGTGATGTTATAAATAGACTAATATACAATTAACTATTTCTATTTAAACACCTAGCTAACATTATATAACCTTATATGTGTTATTTGCAATGACTTTCGTCCTTTTGTGACCCTCCACGTTCATTCCGCGTCGGTCTAAAAACTTTAACAACTCTTAATCAAATTGCGACGATAAATAAGCTTTACTTTTTTTTTTTTTTTTTTTTTTTTTTTTAACTTAGCGTAATAAATGCTTAAACTACAGTTTAAAATCGCTAGTGCAATGGGGACAGTTTATCGACGGGGTGTTTTGCGGTTTGTTTTCATACCAAAAGTCATCTTCAGGTTTCGCGGCTCGTTTGGGTACTGAAAGAATTCTTCGCAGTTAGGATTTAACTTCTGGATATAGTCCTTGAGGCAGTTAAGGCCGTCAAAAAGTGGATCCTCCGATATTGAAGACATCCTGGCCTACTTTTCTACACTGTTGACGTCTTCAATCCCTCTTGGATGGTTCTTAGTAGCCTCGTCATGGGTCATTGAAGCGTATTCCTGTCCATTATCGTCAAACAAGAACTGAAAACTTTGCTTTGTCAATTGTCGTTGACCTTCGCGTCCTCGACGACACCAGCACAAACTGATATGAAACCAGACATTCCGTAGAAGACCCCAAGGACTGTCTCCCCAAATTGTATCTGACGACTTCAACTTTTGAAGGTCTGCTGCTGGAATTGGAGGTTTATGTTTTGTGTTTTCTTTGTTCTCGCGTTTGTTTAACTTTATCATACTCTGCAGGAGTTTGTTTGACGATTGGAATTCGGTCCCTTTGGTGATTTAAATTCCCCTATTTAATGATGGGTTGTTGAAGTA